ACTCTGCTCTGATAACCACGTGTCACTTTTCCTCAGTATTTGATAGGTATAAGAGCTACAGCCCTTACGACATGCTGGAGAGCATCAAGAAGGAGGTCAAGGGAGACCTGGAGAATGCGTTCCTGAACTTGGGTGAGTGTTCTGGCTCCTGCCCCGCGGACGGCATCTTTCAGTGGGCCGAAGCATCTTGAGTGTATGTCAGGATGTGGTGCAGAAGGGCCTGAACTGGCGGAGCTGATTATTGCCAGGAGCACCAGGAAAAGAAGGACTGCACTGGGGGAACTCTGCGCGGGCCCTTGGGTTTCCGCAGCCCGGAGAGTCCAGCCCACAGTAGATGTCAGCGGATTCCTTGATTTCCCTTAGCCTTGCCTGTTTTGCAGCCCCTTTCTGTTGCCTCAGGGTCATTTCTGGCTTGTGGCCTGGGGTCATGGCATCCCCTCCCAGCGGTGGACGGCAGAGAAGTAGATATTCTCCCTGACCCCCTGACTCTTCTCCCTTCTCTCCTCAGTCCAGTGCATTCAGAACAAGCCCCTGTACTTTGCTGATCGGCTGTATGACTCCATGAAGGTAAGAGCTTTAGGCTTTAGGGTTTTCTTCTTTTGGGTCCCAAACTAAGTCACCTTGACTGGTGGCTGGAGAGAGGGCCCTCACTGTGGATGCAGGACACACGACTGGGCTCTGGTTGTATCTGATGGGTGACAGAACCAGAAGTCCACCTTCTTTCTCCCTCAACTGCTTAAGGACGGGTGTGTGTCTGCAAGCAGAAAATAGAGCCCGTGGGAGGGAAAGATAAGGATGGTAGTTGTGTCTGAGTCCTGCTCTGGTGTTTCAGTGGTTTCCTCAAAGCAAAGATAAGTGAGAGATTGTTAAGAACCCGCTAGGCAGTTGACATGTGCTACTATTTTATTTTAAATCATTGCAAAACAACCTCTGAGGCTTATCAGGTTATCTTCTCTATAGATGAGGAGAGGTTACACAGGCCAGATTTGCATGTGGCTCTGTCAGACTTTAAAGCCAGCCCTGCAACCCTCCCTTGAATGAACTGTCTCTTCCCACGAAGCCATCTGGTTTTCCATCCTCAAATGCGCCCTGTGTTTCCCAGCTTCCAGAGTGTCACCATCTCTTCCAGGAGCATCTCCCCCATCTGTGCAGCCCCCCCACCCCACTTCTCTGGCTCTACATCACATATGACGCATGGGTGCCCTGGTCTGGGGCTCTGGCTTTGAACTCAGTGGTCCTTACTGCTCATACCATTTAAAAATGGCAGGGCCAGGAAACAAGGGTGTTGGTGTGTCCCCTCTGAGCCCTGAGCTTGGGAAACCTTTCATTACATATGTGAACTCCCAGACTTCTTGAACTTAGCCTTGCGCTCATAGGACCCTCAGGACACAGTTATTGAATATACAGAGTGGGAGTTTGTGCTGACTAAATCTGGCTGTGTATGGAATTCCAAGATGCTGATTTTTCTTAAGGAAATAATGTCACTGTTGCAATCTCTTAGAGGGCAGCATGAAGAATTCAGATCAGGTGGCACCCGTGGCTCAAAAGGGTAGGGTGCTGGCCCCATATGCCAGAGGTGGCAGGTTCAAATCCAGCCCTGGCCAAAAAAAAAAAAAAAAAAGAATTCAGATCAGTTCCAGATGCAAGAAAACTTACTATAGGCTGAGTGTCCCTTATCTGAAATGCTTAGGACTAGAAGTATTTCAGATTTCAGATTTTTTTTGGATTTTGGAATATTTGCATATACATAATGAGATAGCATAGGGATGAGACCCAAGTATAAACATCAAGTTCATTTATGTTGCATGCACACCTTATACACGTAGCCCAAAGGTAACTGTATACAATATTTTAAATGTGTTCATGAAACAAAGCTTGTGTTAAGTATCATGTGTGGAATTTTCCATTTGTGGTGTCATTTTGGTGTTCAAAAAGTCTTGGATGTTGGAGCATTTCATATTTCAGGCTTTTTGGGTGAGGGATGCTCAGTCTGTAGACTCTTTGTTAGTGACAATATTGTTCGTGAATTTAACCTGGAACTTCCTCTTTGTCTTCCAGGGCAAGGGTACTCGCGATAAGGTCCTGATTAGAATCATGGTCTCCCGCAGTGAAGTGGACATGTTGAAAATCAGGTCTGAGTTCAAGAGAAAGTACGGCAAGTCCCTGTACTACTACATCCAGGTAAGGCCCGAGGTGCCTTGTCAGCCTGCCCTGCTGTCCAGGCGGCCTGGGGCCCTGGGCAGGCGGCCTGTCAAAGTGACGGCAGAGTGGTGATCTTCTGTGTTTTAATTCTCTGGAGAAGAAATGCTGGTCATCAAATATCAGGGATTTATCTTGAAAGCACCATTTATGATTTGTCCTGGACGCTTGGACACTCAGGCGTACGTTTCATAGTTTAGACATCTGTTACTCTGCAGGGATAATTGATGTTCATGAAGAGAATCCTGCAAAATTTGCTGACGTCCTGCGGAGCCTTGGAAGATAACTTATTATATTTCTGTGTCTTGAAACATCTTGAGATACGCCTGACAACTTTAGTTTTCAGAACTCCCATGTCTCCAAATCTGTTTAGTCTCTGCCCGTTTTTGAGTGATGGGCCACGGGCGTGTGTGGAGTGACAGTGTTCACAGTGGTTTCAGACAGGCTTGGCAATTCCCTTTTCAAAAAGATCCTGAGATTTCCAACAAAGCATGTCCATGCTTTCCAGGGATAAGTTTAGAGGAAGATGTGGCACACCAGGTTTATTAGGGCACATGTTTGCAGTTAGGGGACCAGATGGAGTCTTAGCCGCTGTCTCCTCACCTCACCAGCTCATTCCTACATGACTTTAGGGATCTAGGAGAAGCCGAGCGAGGTGGGAAGAAGGCATGCCGCTCTGTGCAGGGGTGAGGGTGAGGGAGGAGAGGGGCAGTGTTCACAGGATGTCCCAGTAAGAGCAGCTCTGGCCACCCACCCACGTTTAGCCTTAGCACCTCACTTTCTCCCCCTCAGTCTTAAGGGGACTTGGAGTCTTCCCTGTCCACTCCTCTGACCGCGCTCACAGAGGGGCCGCTGGCAGTGCCTGGGTGTGGCCTTCTAGGCCTTTGTGTCTCTGAGTTGTGGAGAGGCTCTGCTGTACACTGAGGTTGTTTAGACGCTGTTCTTGGGGGTTTGGTCTTTTCCCTGATACCATATTTCTTTTTGTCCCCCTGGGCCATTTGCAGCAAGACACTAAGGGTGACTACCAGAAAGCGCTGCTGTACCTGTGCGGGGGAGATGACTGAAGCCCGGCCCGGCACCAGCGTCCAGGAACGCACTCCCTGTGCTTCCAGCTAACAGGCCTAGAAAACCAGCTTGCGCCTAACAGCCCCGTGGCCATCCCTGTGCGGATGAAGTCAGCATTGCCCCAGCCTCCTTCTAGCTCCCGAGCTCCGCCTGGCTTTCCTGTCTAGTCTCTCCTTTAAGCCAAAGAAATGAACATTCCAAGGAGTGGGAAGTGAAGTCTCAGATGTGAAACACTCTGCCTCTTGTGTCCTGTGTCCTAAACAGATGAATAAACTGAATTTTTACTTTAGAAATGAGTCCTTTGTTTATTTTTATTTTTATTATTTTTTAATTAAATGATAGCTGTATACATTAATGCAAACATGGGGTGCAGTGTAGTGTTTTCACATACAATTTGAAATATTTTCATCAAACTGGTTAACATAGACTTTGGGTCATTTACGTAGTTATTGTCTTAAAACATTCATACACGAGTCCTTTGTTGGCCTTGCTTTCAGTTTAATTGTTTGAAAATTAAATGTGTTTAAGGATGGTATGGTTCAGCTGTAAGTCTGTCCCTAGAAGAAGAAAGTGCTAGAATCGAGCTAACCATGATAGCCACTATCCAGATTGGCTATTTAAATTTAAATTAATTTAAATGAAATAAAATTAAACTTCCATTCCTGAGTCACTGTCCACATTTCAAATGCTCAGTGTCCGCATATGGTGAGCAGTTGGTGTTTTGGACATGCAGGTAGAGACTGTTTCCAGCATCGCAGAATGTTCTGTGGGTAGTGCTCTGTGCCCCAGGGATGAGCGATCCCATCCCAGGATGACCCTTCACCTGCTCGTCTTTCTACAGGTAAAACGAGCACCAATCATGGCCACAGGCCAGGGAGAGGGGTGGGAGAAGGTGGAGAATTCTGTTCAGCAAATATTACAACTGTGTAAATCTCACTAGACTTACCGAAATAAATAACCTGCCCCAACCTCAAGGACTCACCCTTCCGCGAGTCCAGCTACTACGGCGTTCTGGTAAAGGAAATCTAACAGTGGTAGACTGAGGCCTCCGAGAAGAAAGGGGTTTCGTTTGACTGGGAGGATTGAGAAAAGTGACAGAGGACGGACACCTGTGAGTTGTGCTCTAAAGTCTCAGGTGGACCTCACAGGTGGGGGCCAGCTCCCTGTGCGGGTTCTTAGGGTTCCGATAACAGACAATAGGTTCATGCAACTGGTACAATGTCACAAAGTCCGCAGACTGTACAGAGAGGATAATCTGTGCGTGGACAGACTCTGCATAACAAGCATGTATCTGTATAGGCAGCGCCCAGGTTATGAATGAGATAGCTTTGCTTGTAAGTGGAATTCTTTTTTTTTTTT